AGAGGTTACAATATCACCAATGCAACCTAGACGGAATCTAGCTCGCAACGCGAGAATACCAAACACAACAAACCAAAACGAACAATACTACAAAACGACTAACACAAAAATAGAACCCTCCCAACAGGAGAATACTCGAGTGCGCTCCCACCAGGAGAATAAAGTTGCACTCGAGCCAACTGGGGCAATCCTGACAAACACAACACCACTAACAAACAAAAGAGAAACAACAACACCAACAAACCTACAAACACAAACACGATAACAAAAACGAAAACAGGAATAAAAACGAAAATAAAAACCAACATCGGAAACAAATTTAAACTGGCCCTTCCTCAGCTAATCGTCACCGCCCTAACCAGTAGCGACCGATCGATGCCAGAAATATCCCGAGCCCAAGTCCCGCTACTGAAACTGCACGAACGCCTAGCAATAGGTGAACCCAACTCCCAGAAAAATCCCTGAATCGACCCGCCATTAAACCGAAAGGAAACCAGGCCAAGCCAACCCTCACACAAGATCCCCTGAGCACATCTAACACCACTAGCTGCACTCGAGAGAACCGGACCCCCGCCGCCTAACACCACTAGCCAAACGGAGGGTGGTGGTGGCGTCATGGCCCCTCACCTCCGACTACCATATCCCGAGACATCGTAGTCCCCAGAAAATCGCCTCAACCACAAAGCCTCACTCCACCCAACTCCGCCGCAATCACGCCGCCAACCGGAGCCCACAGCTCCTGTTCAACGAGCCGAAACCCACCGAAAGAACCTCTGCCAACCCCGATAACCGACACAACCCAACAAAATCACGAGAGTAAAGCACCATAGACGGCCCGAAAGGACATAGACGACCACTGGAAAAGAGATGAAGAACGGTCCCTCAACCCTGTCACTGGCGAGACAACATCCCACCCAACGCCAGAGTCCCACCCCACCTCCAATCGAGACCTTCCGGCAATCGACGCCACCAATTGCAGACCGATCGTCGACCAAGGAGCTCGCCATCTTAACCGCGAACTCGCCGCAGACCTAGGGCAGCACATCTCAGAAGGCGCCGGAGCACTACAGGAACATCAAGGTGCAGCAGGGGGGCCGGCGGTCAACGGCGACCACCGGCCGAAACCGCGCCGCCGCCAAGGAAGGCTTCGTGAAGTCGCGAGGATTTGTCGCAAGGGTTTGTCGCAAGGAAGAGGATTTTTTTAAGAATTGGTTGGATATAACTTTCATTTTATATTTTTACTTATTGGATAAAAGTTTACGTTTTAAATTTTTTATCATATTATACAATATTATTTTATATTTACTTTATTTATCAATTTGATTATTAAGATTTAAAATATAACTTTTATACAAGAGAATAAAGATATCTTACAAAAAATTTTTTCGTTAATAACTCTTATCCTATTTATTTAGGTTTTAAAATATCATATTATTTATTTTATTATTTGGATTATCTTATTTTCCTATGTAAAATTTTCACTAGTTGTGTTAAGTAGTATATCTTTAAAATAACTAATGTAATTTTTTATGTAGAACATGTATTTATTTAGTAAAAGAGTATATAAGCCTTAACATTTTTATGTAGAACATGTATTTATTTAGTAAAAGAGTATATAATCCTTATCATTAATCTGAAAAAAGAACATTAAGTTAATTAAATCATTAATTAATAACATTTTATTCGTGTTTAATAATGGTTAGTCTTTTTTT